CCGAGGTCGAGGCCACGATGCGCAAGCAGGGCTGGCAGTGCGCCCGCAGCCCCTCCGTGGTCACCGACCAAGGAGGACTGTCCTGTGGGGTTGGAATAGCAGGCAGGAGTCTCATCGGGCTCGCCCCCCCCCCCCCCCCCTTCTGAGCAGACCGCATCCCAGCCCCCCGCAGGTGCCAGCTGTCCTGGGTCGGCGCGTTCGTCTCAGGGGGGTTCATTTTCGAAGGCGCGCGCCTCCCCCAGGGGGGGCCTCTGGGAGAGGTCGGGGGGCGCCTCCTCTCCAGGTTGGGGGGGGCCTTGCACGGCTGGGGAATCCCCTGCATCCTCGGGGGAGACTGGAATTGCGAACCCCAAACTCTCAGGGGCGCAGGATGGGTGGAGCGCCTTGGAGGACATATCGCGGCGCCCTCTGTCTCCACGTGTCGCTCGACGGCGCAGAGATGGAAGACGATTGATTTCTTCGCCTGCTCGGCTGCGCTGGCGCCCTCCTTTGCCGGGGTATGTCGCAATGTGAATGCGACCACCGGCCCTCGCTGGCCAGTCAGTGCGACCCTGAGCGGGAACCCGCGGATCGATCAGGTTTGGATATTGCCGCGGCCGCGGGTTTCCTTTTTTCGGTTCCCATGGGGCCCCCTCCTGCCCCACCCGACCACTCCGATCTGTGTGGAAGAGTGGGGAAAGGGGGCTCTGGACTTGAACTTGACAGGTGTTTCGGAGAGTTCCTCAGCAAGCTTGAACATGAGCTTGGGGGATTTACCAAGTCGATGGGTCTGCGTATTTCGGGCGTGACCAGCAGAGGCGATTCAAGCGGGTTCCAGCCTTGAGAACGCCGGGTGGTGCGTATCCTCTTGGATGTCCTCAGTCTCGGGCGTGGCGCAAGGTCGCTATCTTGCCCCATGAGCTGGGGCGGCTTCGGAGACGCGACTCTGGGAAGGGCTTGAGTCGCGAAGATTGGCCGCCAAGCTTTTGAAAAAGGACCTCCTAGCCCTAGGAGGGGCCCGCGCTGGATAGGGTGGAGGCCCGCCTTTCCTGATGTTGTTTTTGCTTGCTCCGCCGCTGAATGAGTGGGGCCCAGGGAAGAAGCTGGCAGTTTCGCCGCCAGTCTCGAGCTGAAGTTCAATGCCGACCGAGGGGCCCGCTGGAGGGAGTGGATCAAGGAAGCGGTGGAGAACGGCGGAGGTAAAGCCCGCAAGTATACGAGAGCACCCATCGGGTGGACTCCAGCGGCTGCGAAACCTGGGAGGCCCCCCCCCCAGGGCCAGGGGCCCTCATGGAGCAGATGCAAGAGGTTTGGGAAGAGGTCTGGAGTCCCCCACCTGATGCCAATAGCTTGCCCGGCGCGTTTGCCTACCTTGGCCGCCAGATTGCTGGACTTTGCCGCGGTGGCCTTGCTACTGGGCAGCGGCCGCGCACGCTGGGCGGACGACGTAAGGTCGGCTGCGAGAAAGTTTAAGCAGCGCACCGCCTTCGGTTCTGATGGGATCCACCCGAGGGATCTCAGCAGGGTGTCGGACGGGGTTCTCGAGGCCTTGCGTGACCTCTGGGCGCGGTGCGAATCCATCGGGCACGTCCCGATTCAGCTCGCCTCGGTGTTCACCGCCCTCCTCCCCAAGCCCGAAGGGGGGGTCAGGCCCATCGGGCTGCTGCCTGGGATCTGCCGAGTCATGAACCAATCCACTCGTCAAGATGCGGTCGAGTGGGAGGAAAGCCAGGGGCGGTCGTATCACTATGGGTCCACGGGCCGATGCTGCGAGCGAGCTGTCTGGGAGCAAGCGCAAGTCACCGAGTTTGGCACCCTTGTTGGGATCGGGGCTGGCGCGGTCTTGGTGGACCCCACCAAGGCTTATGAAAGAGGTCCTGCGTTTTCTGTTGGCCCAGGCGGCTGTGAGGCATGGATTCCCGCTCATCCGCCTTAGGTTTTTGCTGCGAGTGTACAATGCGCCTAAGCTCCTCCTCATGAGCCAGGTCACCTCGGGCGTGATCTATGCGGGCCAGGGGGTCATCGCGGGGCGTGGGTACGCGACCACCTTCATGAAACTCATGCCGTTGGCAGGGCTGCGCGCTTCTTCCTTCCGGAACTCCAGAGAATGTGTTTGGTGACTTCCAAGGGCAAGGGGGTAGTGATGCCGACGGATATGGAGGTTGGGAAGCAGATTTCGTCTTGCATCCAGGACTGGGGTTTCAAACAAAAGCGTGCCGCGAAAAACCTGGGTGGGTTTTTCTGTCCGACGGCGCAGGCGGATAACTATGGTCCAGAGAGACTGAGTTGCTGCCTCGAGGCCGAGGACCAGGAGGTTTCGCGGGTTCCGCGTTGTTTTCCGCGGAGTCACCAAGGTGGCCAAGACGGGCGGCCTGCTCGCGGTGACGCACGGCTGCTCGGCTGTAGGGACACCGACACTCCTCTCCAAGAGCATCGTTCGATCTTGGGCCAGGCCATCTTCGGGGCCCCGAAAGGACGTTCCAGGACCATCGAGTTCCATCTGTGCGGAGATAATCGTGCTGATCCGACCTTCGCTGCCAACTCCGCCCCCCTTCTCAGCTGGTGCTTGGCCCTGCACAAGGGATGGGCTCCAGAGCAGCAGGGGAAAAAAACAAAAAAAAAAAAAAAAAAAAAAAAAAAAAAAAAACGTTGTGATGCGTTCCTCAACATCCCAGGGTTCGACGGTCACGGGACCTGCGGGAGCGGTGTTGTGCGCGTTGCGCCGACTCGGCTGGCGCGCGCCAGGGTGCAGGTCGTGGGTTACGAGAGGAGGAGTCTCAGTGGAACCGGGCACCCTGGGCAAGAGGGCGATGAAATCCCTGATCGAACAAGACACCCAGCGTGGACTCGTCTGCAGTATCGGACACAAAGTGCCTGGGTTTGCTTCGGGACCCCTCCTTGGGCCTATCGTTGACAAGTTGAAGTCCTTGCGCGGGCAAGGGGAGGGGAAAGGGGGCTGCCCTTATCTCCGGAATCGTGGCTGGAGGCTACGCGACGCAAGAAGCCCTGTTTGCGGGGAGGCGAGTCGTTTCCCCTCTTTGCCGCTGGTGTGGAGCGCTCGCGGGCCCCCCCCAAGCACCGTTTTTTTTTGCAGCTGTGATGGAAATTGGCATCCGCTCCAGCCTTGACCTTGACGGGTATCTCACAGGCGAGATCTGTTCGGGCGGTTCCGCGCTGGGCCCACACAGCGATGTGTTCGCGAGGGCGGGCTGCGGCGTTGTTGCGGTTGATTTAGGTAGTAATATTGTTGGTTCCCTTTTCGGCCCCCCCCCCACCCCGTTCAGTCCTCAGGAGGGAGGGGGGGGGGTCTTGCCTTTCTCATGGCCTTGCGGCAGGTGGGAGCTTGCCCCGCTGAGTTCTGCACGGATTGCCAGATGGTCTGTGACATCTGGGAAAAAGGCCTAGGTGAGGACCTCGCCAATGTCAGGGCCGCGAGTTGTGGTGCGACATTTTGCCAGGGCCGCGGATGCAGGGGTGCGCAACAGCACCCTCTCTAAAGTCAAGAGCCATCTGTCTCGTAGGGCCGCCTTGGACCGTGGGTTTCGGTTTTGGCTGTGGGCGGGCAATCGAGAGGCTGATCGCCGGGCTAAGTTAGGGGCCGCAGTGCATCCCCACAACCCCCGTGCTAAGCAATTGCATGCGCATCAGGCCGAGCTTGTCTCCGACAGCGTATGCGTGATCCACGAGACCATGAAAACCCTCTCCCGTGACAGCGCCCAGGAGGTCTCGAATTGGTGCCCGATGCGCTTGGCCACCAGCTTATCCGCTATAAGCTTCCAGGGGGAGGATTCAAGTATCAGTGCGTCAGATGCGGGGAGCGAGGTTCTCGGACAGGTGTTTGTAAGGTTCCGTGCTCTGGGCTGCCTAAGGTGGCCCGCCTCGCCCACCCCTCCCACCAGTTGTTCATTGGAGGGGGCCGTGTGGCGTGGTGCTCGAGGTGCGGGGCTTTTGGGAACCGTAGGTTTCAGTATCTTCCTAACAAGTGCATAGACCATCCACGAAATAAGGATGCATCTCGGAGCTTGAAAATGCTCCGGGACGGAGCTGACCCGTCTACCAAAAGGTTTTTCGGACGTAGTGTTGATTTCAGGCGGCTGGGGTAGTGTTTTCTTGGCCGAACGTGCTGCTGGGAGGCCAGCTGCACTGCCCAGGATCAGCCGCCTGCCCCTCGCTTATTGGCTGGGTGTTCGCGTCTCGGCGCCGAGGATCCCGTCATCTTTGGAGAATCTGGAGAATCAGTAGGGAGAGGAGAAGGAGGACGAGGAGGGGGAGGAGGAGGAGGAGGAGGAGGAGGAGGATCAGGAGGAGGAGGAGGAGGAGGAGCAGGAAAAGGAGGAGAAGGAGGAGGAGGAGGACGACGAGGACGAGGAGGACGAGGACGAGGAGGACGAGGAGGACGAGGAGAAGGAGGAGGAGGAGGAGGACGAGGAGGAGAAGGACGAGGAGGAGGAGCAAGAGGAGCACGAGGACGAGAGGAGGAGGAGGAGGAGGAGGAGGACGAGGAGGGGAGGAGGAGGAGGAGGAGGAGGGGAGGAGGAGGAGGAGGAGGAGGAGGAGGAGGAGGAGGAGGAGGAGGAGGAGGACGAGGGGGAGGAGGAGGAGGAGGGGAGGAGGAGGAGGAGGAGGAGGAGGGAGGAGGAGGAGGAGGAGGAAGAGGAGGAGGCGATGGGAGGAGGAGGAGGAGGAGGAGGAGGAGGAGGAGGAGGAGAGGAGGGAGGAGGAGGGAGGAGGAGGAGGAGGAGGAGGACGACGAGGAGGGCGACGAGGAGGAGGACGAGGAGGGGGAAGGAGGAACAGGAGGAGAAACAGGAGGAGGAAACGGAGGAGGAAAAGGAACAGGAGAAGGAGCAGGAAAAGGAGGAGAAGGGTAATAAGCAACATAGTACTATGAGAGGAGGAGGAGAGGAGGAGGAGGAGGAGGAGGAGGAGGAGAGGGAGGGGAGGGGGAGGGGGAGGGGGAGGGGGAGGGGGAGGGGGGGAGGGGGAGGAACGTTTAGGAACGTTTAGTTTAACCAGGGGCCCAATCGGACCACGCACCCCAGACGGGGGAAACAGACACCACGCAGGCACCGAAGCCCCAGCGTGGCCCTCGGTTCCTCCGCCCTAGCTGCGCGGAGGCGAAGAGGAAGGATGACGACGACGACGACGACGACGGCGACGGCGACGGCGACGGCGACGGCGCACAGGACTGGTGCGCCGTGTACATCAACCTGGCCAGGAGGCCGGACCGGCGCGAGCGGTTGCTAGGCCAGCTTGGCGCTTGGAACGGCGCCCTGGCGAGGCGCCGCATGCGCCGCCGTCGTCGAGGGCAGAGGTTCGAGGATCGAGGGCAGCGTTTTCCAACAGTTTCGACCCCTCCCGGGGCCTCTGGGGACCCTCTGGGACCTCGTCGTCGCTGCTGTCGTCGTCGTCCTGCCGTCGTCTTGTCGAACTCCACTTGCAATCGGTCTCTGGACCTTTACCCATTCTGGCCCGTTTTTCGGGCGAGGGCACGGCCGTGGCGATGAGAGCCTCCATCGTCATCGCCGTCGTCCTACCTGACTCCGCTCGTGATCGGCCTCTGGATCCCTGTCTTGGAGGGTTTCTCTGAAGCGCTTAGGCGGCCCGTCCTGCCTCCTACTCCTCCTCCTCCCCCTCCTCCTCAGACAGATGTGACTATATCGAGCATCACTCGGAACGACCGGAAAGTGAGCTGAGTAGGAGAGGGGAGCACGGAATTAAAGATGTAGAGGTAGCAGCCCCCCCAGCAACAGTTTGGAGTCTCGGTCCTTCCGTCTCTCCCCCCTCTCCTCATTTTGTGGTCGTGTCGTCGTCTCCTCCCCCCCCCTTGGCTTGGCCGCCCAGCCCGAAGGGTGATGTAAGGTAGCGAGCCTCTCTTACGGGGCCACCTCGAAGCTCGGTCCTTGAGCTACGGGGTATGCCCCCTGCCAGCCCTAGTGAGAAGGCAGGGCTGTAGCACAACAAATCGCAGGGGATTTTTGGCAATAGCGCGTAGATCGCCGGAGTAGGTGCTCTGACGTTATACCCACTTTATGCGTATGTCCTTGTCCTTGTCCTCCTCCTCCTCCTCCCTCCTCCTCCCCCTCTCCCTCCTCCACCTCCTCCTTGTCCTCCTCCTCCATTCCTTCTCCTTATTAATAACTTCTACCTGTCGCACCCCGAAGCCAGTCAGTAGGGCGGGCGGGGCGTTTCGCTTGAGACTTCCTCACCGTTTATGAGCTTAAAAATTGGCAGCAGCTTCACAGATGAAGGGCGGGTGGTTTTCGAAATGTGGCTCTCGCCTCAGCGCCGCGCGTTTTCGTTTTAAACATTTGCAAGAGCTTCACGTTTTGAGGGCGCTTGTTCTATAGAAAAGCGGCTTTGGCCTTAGCACCACGCACATTAGTTTTAAACATTTGCAAGAGTTACACGGATTGAGGGCAGGTGGTTTTCAACATGATGTGGTTCTCGCTTTAGCGCCGCGCACTTTCTTTTGTAAACATTTGCCAGAGTTGCACGGATTGAGGGCAGGTGGTTTTCAACATGTGGTTCTCGCTTTAGCGCCGCGCACTTTCTTTTTTTAAGCATTTGCAAGAGCTTCACGGATTGAGGGCGGGTGGTTTTGCAAATGTGGTTCTCGCCTTAGCGCCGCGCATTTTCGTTTGAGAAAATTGCAAGAGCTTCACGGATTGATGGCAGATTGTTTTTAAAATGTGGTTCTCGCGTAAGTGCGGTGCACATTCGTCAAAAGATGCCAGCGTTTCACGGATTGAGGGCAGGCAGTTTTCAACATGTGGTTCTCGCCTTAGCGCCGCGCACATTAGTTTTAAACATTTGCAAGAGTTACACGGAATCCCATCATCAACAGTTTTCCAGAAACGGTGTTTTGGAAGGATTCGGGATTATGCGGGTGCAACAGTCACGTTGATTCTTTGTGTTGAAGTCGTAGAAATGGCGCTCTGGCACGACTCAACAGTCAGTTTGACCCGTGGCGTTGGGATCCCTAGAACAATGTTTTGGCATGTTTCAGGGTCTTCAGACGGGTGTCTTCCCACGAGCCAGTTCCATCCATGAAAATGAACCTTTGTAGGGGCCTATGAAAGGGGGAGCTTGGAGGGAGGGTTTACTCCAACATCGTTGTTGATTCTTGGGTTTACACTGGTCCTGCTCCTCCTCCTCCTCCTCCTCCTCCTCCTCGGGTCGCCTACGGGCCCGGGGGAACCCGTCACCCCATCTCTGCGAGCGAGCTGCGTGCGCCGTACGTGCCGCGTTTTGTCGCCTCCCGAGGCGTTGTCAATCCTCGACCAAGGATTGGCAAGGTGCACAGTCATCCATCCCTCGGATTAAGGCGGGCATGTCCTTCTACAGGAGGAACATTCAAAAACAGACAAAAAAAACAATCAGGGGACGATATTTGGGGGCATTTTTTTAGTATTGACCTAACAGCGAAGACTGATAGGTTGCTAGTAGTGTCAAAAGAGAGCATCTTGACTCCTCAGGGGGGTCTGGGCGGGTGCCGGGGAGAACCCGCGGAAGTCGTTTTAAGCAAACAGTTACACACTTCGTGGTGGTCTTCGAGGCCCCAGAACTCCATTCCCGGGCCACATTCTGAATGCCCGGAGCCAACTGTAAGCCACTTCGTTCGTGCTCTTCGAGTTCCTAGAACTCCATTCCCGGGCCACATTTTGAATGCCCGGAGCCAACCGTAAGCCACTTCGTGCTCTTAGAGTTCCGAGAACTCCGTTCCCGGGCCACATTTTGAATACCCGGAGCCAACTGTAGGCCACTTCGTGCTCTTCGAGTTCCCAGAAATCCATTCCCGGGCCACATTTTCAATGCCCGGAGCCAACTGTAGGAGGAGCAGGGGCAAGAGCACGAGGAGGAGGAGGACGAGCAAGACGAGGAGGACGAGGACGAGCACGAGGAGGAGGAGGAGGAGCAGGAGAAGGAGGACGAGCAGGAGGAGGAAGAGGACGAGGACTCCTACATGCGAGGACGAGCAGGAGGACGAGCGACTGCGAGGACATCAGAATTCTACACCAGGACTCCTACATGAATCTCAAGGGCAATGCTTCCAGATATGCTTCTACACATCGCTGTTAGGTTGCTTTGCCGGGATAATTTTCTCCCGTCCAAAACCGCCTGTAGGAGGACATGCCCGACCTATAACCCTCGGAGCCGAGAAACGATGCGCCGTGCTGCGCTGGAGCGGGGCCCGACAGGAGTCCACATGCTTGGCATCGCTCGGACGTGTGCATTTTTCCTTCGACGGGGACCATCGAGCAGCATCCTTGATCATTTGGCGAAAAAAACACGCACGAAACTGAAAAAACACAGGGAATGGACGTCCGAGCGATGGCCAGGATGGTGCGGTGCATTGGCGCCAGTCTCTGACTGCCCGTTCCCATGCCGACCCGTTGTTTCGAGAGCCCTGGGAGCGGCCTGAAAAAAACACACACACACACAATCGGGAGGGAAACAAACACACTTTTTGGTCTGCGGGTCGGGAGCGGGCCCCTTCCGGTCAAGAGCTAAAGGGGACGCGGGTAGCCCTAATTGGGGAGACAGGGCGCGGGCGGGCGGGGCCTCAGGCGGCCGGAGAGCTCAGAAAACAGGCGGTGCCGAAGAACTTGCACAGGACAAGGTGCGCCATGGACTGGATCAGGGGGCGCGGTCCCACAGGGAAAGTGGAGGGAAAAAACACACACAGACACAATTAATCGTCGATTCCCTGGGGAATATGGGAAAACATGGGAAGTGGGGGGAGACAAAAGCCCAGAACATGTAGGAAAATATGGGGAATCCTTTGCTTGTGTCTTTTTATGTTTTTTTGTGTGTGTGTGTTGTGTGTTGTGTGTTGTGTGTGTGTGCGTGTGCGTGTGTGTGTGTGTGTGTGTGTGTGTGTGTGTGTGTGTGTGTGTGTGTGTGTGTCAGGGCCCCTTCAAACACAGTAGAAGAGGCCAGTGGCGGCCGAGGCGGAGGCCAGGCGAGAGAGGCGGTCAGAGCCACGTGGACGCGCCGGGGGGCTGCCACGAGTCGAGCGGCGGCGCAGCGTCCCGGGCTAAAGTGAAGTCGGGCCTGTCCCTCTACAGGGGAATATGCAACAAGAGTTTCTCAAACATAGCCAGGGGACGATCATTTCACTAGTCTTGCCCATTCGGGGGGTATGTTGTGAGCATGTTTTATTTGTCGCCCAGAATCCCCCTGTAGGGGGACACACCCGACTTAAAAGTAAAGCTGCTTTCCCAACCATCCTGTGGTGTTGGGTCCTCAATTTGACGAGACAGCGCCCCGCGTCTCCTCCTTCCTTCCTCCTCCCTCCTCCCACTACCTTCATCAACACCGTCATCAGCATCAGCATCATCATCAGTATCATCATCCTCGCCATTACCAATAACAACATTATCAGCAGCATCAGCATCATCAGCAGCAGCATCAGCATCAGCATCATCGTTATCACCATCATCATCATCATCATCATCATCATCATCATCATCATCATCATCATCATCATTATCATCATCGTCATCGTCATCGTCATCGTCATCGTCATCGTCATTATCATCATGCCGCTCTGCTTCTCCCCCTTCGGTCCTCCCTCCCCTCCCCCCTTTACAGTCTGCCTTGTGCAGTATCTCATGCTTGCATATGGCAGCTCACAGTTTATAGGATACAGTGTTCGCCTCTGCTGCACATGAGACTGGGTTGCTCTATCGCCCGCGCAACAACAATCATCATCATCATCATCATCATCATCATCATCATCATCATCACCACCACCACCACCACCATCACCATCACCATGACCATCACCGTCACCGTCACCGTCACCGTCACCGTCACCGTCACCATCAGCAGCATAATCAGCATCAGTATCATCATCCTCCTCCTCCTCATCATCATCATCACCATCGCCATCGCCATCGCCATGGCCGTCATTATCACCATCGTCATCATCATCGCCGTCGTCATCACCACCAACGCCATCAGCTTTGGCACACCCCTCACAAGCTTCGTGGCCCCATAGGGAGCTGCACCGAAAGCTCCAGTGGCACAGTCCGCATGGCGCACCCGCACCCGAGTCGGCACACCCCTCACACGTTTCGTGGCCCTACAGGGATTTCCACCGAAAGCCCAAGCGGCACAGTCCGCATGGCGAACCCGCATCCGATTCGGCACACCCCTCTCAAACGATTCGTGGCCCCAGAGGGAGCTCCACCGAAGCCCCAGTGGGGCAGTCCGCATGGCGTACCCGCACCCGATTCGGAACACGCCTCACACGTTTTGTGGTTTTATAGGGAGCACCACCGAAGGCCCCAGTGCCACAGTCTGCATGGCGTACCCGCACCCGAGTCGGCACACCCCTCACACGTTTCGTGGAACTAGAGGGAGCTCCACCGAACGGCTTCAGCGGCACAGTCCGCATGGCGCACTCACATCCGATTTGGCACACCCCTCACACGCTTCGTGGCCCCACAGGGAGCCTCACTGAAGGCCCCAGTGCCACAGTCTGCACGGCGAACCCGCATCCTATTCGGCACACCCCTCAGACGTTTCTTGGCCTCAGAGGGAGCTCCACCGGAGGCCCCAGTGGCACCCACACCCGATCTGGCACGCCCTTCACACGATTCGCGGCCCCATAGGGAGCTCCTCCGAAGGCCCCATCGGCATAGTCCGCATGGCGCACCCGCACCCGAGTCGGCACACCCCTCACACGCTTCGTGGCCCCATAGGGAGCTCCCCCGAGGGCCCCAGCATGGCGCACCCGCATGCGACTAAGCCCACCCCTCACACGTTCCGTGGCCCCACAGGGAGCTCCTCCGAAGGCCCCAGCATGGCGTGCCTGCATCTTCGTTGCCCCTCTGCGTTGGCTCCCCAGAGGGAGCCCCACCGAAGGCCCCAGCGGCACAGTCCGCACGGCGCGCTCGCACCCCATGCGGCACACCCCTCACGAGAGTCGCGGCCCCAGAGGGAGCTCTCCACCGAGAAGCTCCCGCGGCACAGTCCGTACGTCGGGGGTGGACAGAGCCCCCAACAGTGACGCGTCGACTCGTGAATTATCCGGTTTCGGTCCTCGAGAGGGCGCCGTGGCCGTTATTTTCCAGGCTTGCGCCCGCCAGGTTTGGGCCTCAGGTCGTTCTCACTACACCTCGTTTTGCAACAGGGAGGTTTGCCCACCGCCGAGTACGGCGTGCCTGCCGGTGCCTTTTCATACGCTCCGTGGCCCCACGAGGAGATCCGTCGAAGGCGATACCCGCAATGATGCTGCAGGGCTGGACCTGAGCGCTGTTTTGCGGCGTTTCGGCTGTGCTTTATGTTTCGTTTCGGGATGGCGTTTTGGTTTTTCGCAGAGCATCACGAAACACAAAACGAAAAACAACGTTTAGGTCTCGCCCTGTGATGGTATTCACAACTGCATATGGTTGGGGTCGCCGATCGGCGCGGACCCCGGGCTCACCCCTCCCCCCAAAGACCAGATCTTGGCTGCTCCGGACCCCCCAGTCTACTTACGCGACTGGTAGAAGCAGATCGGCCACGAATTGGCCCAGCTCGGGCCCCCACCTACTCTTCGGCCAAATGTCGGAACCCGGAATCGAAAAGCTGACCATGGGCACACCAACTAATGTTCTAAGCATTGCTCTCTGGTTTGCACGAGATGTTATCAGAACGGAGTTGGCAGAGTCCGTCTTGTTCTGAACAACCTTTGTTCTGGTCCAGGGACTTGACTTGTCTTCTCACACATTCCTTTGCTCGAGGAGAACTTCGTGGCAGGCATCAGACTGCCAGGACGGCCAGTCCCTGCTCTAACGAGGCGTCCCTGTCTTGGGGCGCCCCCCCCCACCGCGCGGTCCGTCACCATGCGGTCTCGGGACCCTCGAGGCCCCTGTCGCCCGAGACATATTCGGAGAACGCGGCCTGAGTCCCAAAGCCGTGCGGTGACCCCGAATCCCCATTGACTCACCGCGCGGTGTGGTCAACACACACACACACCGTCCAGGGGCCCCCGATGGCCCAGGCTCCTCGCGCCTCGTGGTCGTGGCCGCCGTCGCTGCCCTTGGTCGTGGCCGCCGCCGTCGCCCCCTGGTTCTCCAAGGGGAGGAGGAGGAGGAGGAGGAGGAGGAGGAGGAGGAGGAGGAGGAGGAGGAGGAGGAGGAGGGGGAGGGGGAGGGGGAGACTGAGGAGATTGAGGAGGAGGAGCAGGAGGAGACTGAGGAGGAGGAGGAGGACCCGACGCTGCGCCCGACGGCCAAGAGGACGGCGACGAGGGCGACGACGCTCCCTCCGCCGCGACCCCTCGCCCCCACGGCTCCCACTACGACCCCCCGCCCGAAACAGCGAGCTCCCAAACGGCGCTGCCTTCGACGCTCACCTGCGACCGCCCCACGCCCTCGTGCGACTCGTCGTCACGACGA